CATAGATCAGGAAAGCCTATAAAGGAATGTCCAACACTAATGGTTTGTTCTCCTTGGATTTCAGATTCAAGACCTCTTCCAGATGTAGCCCTCACTGGGAAGTGCACTCGTGAGTGTGATGAGTATGGCCACTCAGACTCCTGCTGGATGCCGGTCCGCACTTCTCCGGAGAGGAAGAAGAGCCAGCCCAAACTCTCCACTTTCATGCCTGTAGATGAACGAGGAAGCCAGGAAAAGCTGGCCAATGGCGAGGCTGCCATCATGGGTGACCGCAACAGAAACCTCCTCAACAAAAAGTTGACCTCATCCTATGAGACCTTCAGTGCAGCTAGTTTCAGCAAAAATGAGGAAGCCAATCCTGAGGATATTCCCCTTACGAAAACAGGGGAATATAAGCCATCTCCTGTCAATACTCTCACTAGAAGAGAAGTTTACCTGTAGGCTGTCAAGGAGCAACAGCAAAGTTCTTTTCATGTATGAGAAGGAGAATAAGGGGCAAAAAAAAAAAAAAAAAAAAAAATAAAAAGTTTTCATTTTTATAATGGAATCTATATTGCATTGATCATCAGATAAAATAAAGCCATTTTTCATTTATGGGAAGGAAAAAAAGAGGCTATAAAAATACTGGTAAAATATGAATAGCCAATGAAACTTTATGAGTATTTCTTCATCCAAAGACAGAACTAGAGAAACTAAACTCATGTGAAAATACTATTTGAGAAAATGGTGATGTTTTTAAAACCATTTTAAATTAAAAGAGGTATTCTAAAAATCTCTCATTTGTGTGATAATCATTTCTTATAGCTGCTCTACTCATAGAAAAAAGGTGATAATTATTAATCTTACATGATCATTCAGTTTTTAACTACTGGTTATGACTGCTGTAAACAGAGCAGCTAAATGCAGAACTCTGCAAGTAATACCAATTATGTAAGATTTTTGTGGCAGTATCTCATAAAACATCTACCTTAATATCCTAAGAGGGTATCCCTGAATTCTTGGGATTTTGGTTTACATTTGATTTCTGAAAGAAAGTCTGATAATTTCCTTAATTGTTAAGGACACCACAGCCCTTAAATTCATGTAAGAAAACACAATTTTCTTTAAAGACTACATTTGTCTATTGGTTTGCCTACTGGTAAAATGTTCACAAATAATAGTAATGATGCTAGGATGAAATAGTAATGTTGAGCTGATGCCCACAAAGTACTCAGCATGGTGCTATCCAAAACCCCCAGAGCAAGGAGAGCTTCAGGATTCAGACTCTCAGAGATTAGAGGGGTAATATGGTACATAAACCATATTTTTTTAACCTACTCTAAGAAGTCTGGGGCAGGACCGCATATCCAAATACATTACCATTTCTGCACCAAAATTTTTGAATATGCACACTAAGTGGAACTAAAAAAACACTATTAAAAAACTCACATCAGCTGGATGTGGTGGCTCACACTTGTAATCCCAGCATTTTGGGAGGCTGAGGTGGGAGGATCACCTAAGGCCAGGAGTTCGAGACCAGCCTAAGCAACACTGCAAAACCCTGTCTCTACAAAAAATAAAAAAATTAGCCAGGCATGGTGGCACATGCCTGTAGTCCCAGATACTCAGGAGGCTGAGGCAGGAGGAACTCCTGAGCCCAGGAGTTTGAGATTGCAGTGGGCTATGATGATGCCACTGCATTCTGGCCCAGACAACAGAACGAGACCTTGTCTCAAAAAAACAAAACAAAACAAAAAAACCCCTTCGTTTTGGTTCGGTTTTTGCCCCCAATTTGATTTTAAAAAAAAAACTTTTAGTTTTCAGAACTTTTTGTAATCCCAGTATTGCACATATGGGACTATAAACCTATACTATTAGTAGTATACTATTTACATTACAAAACCCTTACAGTTGTCCCGCATGCTCAGTTTTTTTCCCCTACACTAGGACATATGCATTCAAATTGTTTAGAAAAGCAATGTTGATTCAATTAAAATTTGAAGAGTCTAATGACTTTGGGCTATCAAGCTAAATGCTCAGAATAACAAACATTAAATCTACTGGTTCATTTCTGATGGAGAAATAGAGGGATGTAATCAGGAAGGGATAGACAGGAGGCTTTGATTATACTGGTAATGTGTGATTTTTTAAGCTGGGAAACAGGTATCTAGGTATTTGATATATTAGCTAAGATATTCAAAGAGATATAAAGAATATTTCATAGCAACTTTTTAAAAATCAACCTAATTACTTACTTAGTGAACATTTTTGATAGTTCCAAGAATTTCTGACCTAAAAGGGACTCAGCCTAGGCTCACATCAGGGCATTCCTGCATCATCTCCACAACCTGTCAGAAATCCCTCAAGAGGATCTTCCCTAAACAGCAGCAGCAATTAAGAAACCAAGTTCCCTGGCCTCAGGAAGCACTTTTAATCTGAATATACAATCTGCACTTACCCTGTATGACATTTACTATCATTCATTTATAGCTTTAGACCAGCAAGCCCAAAACAGACCGACCACAAACTAGCTCTTGGCCAAACAACTGAGACCCATTCACAGCAGTCTGTACTGTAGACAAAACTGACTCTATTCTAACTACCTCGGAGATCACCAGGGAATACGATCAGGCAGAGAGAAAATGGGCAGACCGTAATTTAGCAGAAACATGCCTAAGTTTTTAGAAGCAAGGCTATTTCATCAGCATTATTTGCTCCTAAGCAAATCACAATTTTGTTCCCTTTAAGGAATTTTGAGAGCATTTTGTTTTTCAAAGACAGGAGTCTTTACAGCATTTTAAGTTTTCACATGCAGTATCTCCTTAAATTTTCAAAATAGCCTTATAAAGTAGGTGAGCACATTTATTCCCTCTTTACGAAAAGGCAATTAAACTTACTTGTGGTCAAATAACTACCCCGGTATCCCAAATCTAAACAGAGGTAGAAGTGGGGACCAGAACTTGGGTCCTTTACCTTTTCTTGGTAGATTCAAATATGTCTTACTATAATAAAACACATTCTAAATGGGCTTAGCATCCTCTAGTCAATCAGGGATAAAGTAAAAGAAATGGTGCATCCCTATTTCTTTCACTAAAGAAAGTTTCAAATTAAGACTCCTAGTGAGTAGTTTGCAAACAGTTCCATCACATAACATTTCAGGGGATGTGTTTTCTACGAAACATTTTATGTACAGATGGTACAAAATCTCTCCTCTCCATTTCAGTCATTTCAATCTCCCTACACAACCTAAAATGTAGCAGAATTTCCCATGCTGTTTGAGGAAGGGAAGGTAATATCATTTTCTTTTATCCCAACTGAAAAATGATCAGGTTTTAATAGGAGAGTACATTCAATTTCCATGAAGAATAAATAGACAATGGTGCCTACTATACACCAAGAACTAAACAATTTGATCAAAAGACACAATTTCATTCTCATTAGGAACATTCCATCTCATTTATATAAAAAACAGAAGAGACATCATGCCATAACTACATGATCTTCACTTTTCAAAGGTATAAAACATAAGGCTTTCCAACAAACATGAGGAGAGAGGGGTTCCATTTTGTATTTTGGAAACTTCACATCCAGCATATTGAATTAAGGGGAGAAAAAAGAAAGCCACAGGACAGCTGTAAGAGCAGTAAGGCTGGGCAGAACAGCCAACGAAATGGAAGGAAATGAACATCCATGTAATGACTATGTGCAAGGAGATGTGCTCAGTGCTCTAAATACATCATCTCCTGTAATCATTATAAAAAACCACCAAGTGTAAGCAGAACTGAAATTAAAATATCCAAATGAGAAAACCCTATAAACCAAGATCTTTCAGAAAGACAACATACCTGTAACCGCTGAACCACTCCTGATCGTAAGTTTCCAAATCCATACTGGCATTGCGGATTTAAAGCACTTTCTGATACCTCTTCATAGGGTGTCTGTTCAATTTCCCAATCAAATTCTTCATCATCATCATCATCATCATCTACTACTTCCTCAGAAACCTCAGAAGCACCTAAAGGTGTTAAATATTAATTTTTTTAAGTTATTGGATTTCCTAGTTACAACTAGGGGAAGAAGGAATATATTAATAGAATAAAATGTCTGCATATATGCACCAAAACATAAGTGCAACACTATTCATAGCTTCACTATTCATGATAGCCAAAAAATGGGACCAATGCAAATACCCACCAATAGTAGGAGGTATAAATAAATGTGATATATTGACACAATAGAATATTAGATAGCAATGAAAACAAATGGACTTCAGCTGCAATATGGATAAATCTCACAAAAATAATGCTAAGAGAAAGAAGCCAGACAAAAAAGAACACATAATGTATGAATTATATATGCAACTCAAAAACAGGCAAAATGGAGGACAGTGGTTAACTTGAAAAGGAGAGAGGGCAAGTAACTGGGAAGAGACATAGAGTGGGATTCCAGGGCATTAGAAATGTTCCATTTCTTGACCTAGGTAGTATTCACTTTATGTAATTCTGATATTAATTCGAAGAGGCTAATTTGCCAAAGATAAGATGCTGTTTTAATTAGTCCAAAAAAGTGACTAATCTCCCAGTTCAATAGGGTTCTTTACCTCTTTTAATTGTATCACCAAATGAGCTATTTTCACATCACATGACCACCTTATCACCTAAAGTATTTTCTTCAATTTCCTATTCCATTTCCCCTAGAAACATAGCATTTCAAATATTCTTATTTATCTTTATTTCCTCCCAATTGCAATAAACATACCTATTTCTTCCACAAGGGGTTTTGCTGTCCTGGATTTTCTTGGTGCCAGAAGAGCAGTTAACATGTTCAGCCCCTCAAAATGCTTGCCAGGAGTTTCTTTGGGTAATCGAATGGTAAAAATTCCTTGAAGATAAAATTGTTTTATGCTTAGACAGATTAAAATATCCAAAGACTTCACTAATATACCTAAGAAATATATGTCTTGGTAAAACATAACTCTATTTCATAGAGTTCCAAAATTATGCACTTATTACAGATTCAGTGAATACAAGTCAAGATCGAAAAAGGCTCAAACAGGGTTTTTCAGAAGCTGTCACTTCTATTAATATAAAAAATTCATCTGTTAGAGCCACAAAATGCTTTAGTCCTACATAGTATCACCTTCACCTACTGATAATATTAAAAATCCAAGTCAAAACTTCTAAAAATCAATGGCCTGAGCAGGTAATAGCTTAAAATTAACCAACAGTTACTAAAAACATGTATTTCTAGACAAGGAAGAAAAATCAGAATATCTAATCCAATGGAGAATGGTAGTAGTTTTAAA